CGTCCACCTGGACTTCACTCTCTAGTACATCAATTGTTATAAAAGTATATCAGCACTTAATTTTTCTTTTAGATATGCTCTCTTCCAGGTTTTCTGTCTACTTCCACATTCTACTCCAAGACAGCTGGTTACTACCGCCCTTGGACCCACTGGAAGACTGGCCAGAACAAGTCGCTGTCCTACACTTACAAGGAACCTTCATGGAACTCTCACCTATGGAAATCTACACCTTCAGCGCCTACCTTTGGGCCCTGCTCTAGCTGGTTCTGCACCCTTCCACCACCTTACCCCCACAACGCCCCCAACCAGCAGGAAGTAGCCAGAAAGAGTAACGACACTCCTCCCCATAAAAAACAGAAAAGGTGGGAATGAAGGGTGCAGGAAGTGACCAGAGGGGCGGCTCCCAAAATGGCGCCGACACACCCGACAACAAAGGCCCTCAATCTGGTTTCTGTGAGCACAATTCCTGGTGCGCCCAATTTCAAACCTCCCGCGGCATGTCAATTTCAAACCTTCCCTCTTGCGTCAATTTCAAACTTCCCCTGTCATCAATTTCAAACCTGCAAGCCTCCAATCAGTACCCAGCTTTGTTATGCGTCCAATAGGACCATAACACGGCATTGGCCCCACCCTACTCCCATGCAGCTCCTCCAATAGGAGCATAGCACGGCCCCTTCCGGCCCCTGTCGGGCTGATAAATACAGCCCTCTCCCCACAACTCTCTCTCGGTTTCTCTTTCTCTCTCTCGATCTCTCTTTCTCTCTCTGTCGCTCTCCCTCTCTGCAGCTCTCTCCCCGCCTCTCTCCCACTTCCTCTCTCTCTCTTACTCTCTCTTTCTCTCTCTCTTTTCCTTTTCCTCTGTAACAGCCACTTTAATAAATCTCTTGGTCCTGGCCGGGTGTGGAGTCATTACTGGTGCCGAACTTCTTTCAGGGAGGACAAGACAAGAGGATTGCCTGAGCCCACGGGTTCAAAATCAGCCTGGGCAACATAGTGAGACCTCGTCTCTAAAATAAGACTTTTTTAAAAATTAGCTGGGCGTGGTAATTGCACCTGTAATTCTGGCTACTTGGAAGGCTGAGGTGGAAGGATCACTGGAGCCCAGCTGGTCGACGCTGCAGTGACCATGAGCGTGCCACTGCACTCTAGCCCAGGTGATGGAGTGAGACTCTGACTCAAAAAAAAAAGAAGGCAACAACAGTAAAGTGTGTTAAGGAGCTAAGTGGCAAACACAAAGTGCTTTGGGATCACACAGGAGGAGATAGTTTAATAAAATCTGACCCAATTAAGAGCAAAGCTGGTTGAGAGCAGTCTCAGGGTCTAAGAGCAGGGCTATGCAAAGATGAAGGGAGGAGAGAGCACAGCAAACTTAGCAACCCAAACTTCAGATGAAGGGCCCAATAGGAAGCATACCTCTTACCTCTCCTCTGTAATTCTGGATCCTCCTTATAATTCGTTCTAAGAGGCCAATCTGCTGCTGGAGACGGTGATTATTTTTCTGTAGTTGCTTATTTTCTTTATCCAGGGAATGTACTCTAAGCATGGCATAAATCAGTGGCATGACTAGAAATTTCTATATCATTACTAAAAACCCCAAATCATGTCCCACTTCCCACTATCTCCAGGTCTTAGACTGCTGTCCAGATTTTAGAAGCAAGTTTGGCAGAATAATTCCCACCATATTCCAAGACCAAGTAAAAATTAATAAGCTTCTGGGCTGTACCTGCTATTAAATGCATATGCAAGAGTATTAAACACACAATTCTAGCCCTAGGCCACACAGCACCATAGTCTGCTTAGCAGATCTCTCTCCAGGCTACGGTGCTATGGTCTAGGGCCAGGCTGCTGAGGTCCACATGTTGCTCTACCACTGACCAAGCTGAGTAAGTTCCCTAAATTCTCTAGACCTTGGCTTCCTATCCATAAAATAAGGTTAATAATAGTGTCTCCCTCCTGGGATGTGTGTCAGGATTAAATAGAGAAAGAGAGAGCGTGTGCTAGCTAGCTTAGAACAGTACCTAGCATACAGTAAGTTTTCAAACAAATGTTAACCATTCTAGTTATTATTGGTGACATTATCTGTTAAAATCAACTCACTCTCTTTGCTCTGATTCTTGCTGTAAGAAAATTTTGATTGTAATTAAAGTTTTCTATGAAGAAGAGAATTCTTAGGCTGGTTGACATCTAAATTCTTCTCTGCTTATAATATTTCTCATTAAGCATTCATACATTGGCTGGGCGCAGTGGCTCATGCCTATTATTCCAGCACTTTGGGGGGCCGAGGTGAGAGGATTGCCTGAGACCACAGGTTCAAGACCAGCCGAAGCAAGTTGGTGAGACCTCATCTCTACAATAAATCAAAAAATTTGCCGGGTGTGGTGGCACATGCCTGTGGTTCCACTACTTGGAAGGCTGAGGTGGAAGAATCACCTGAGCCCAGCAGGTCGAGGCTGTGGCGACCATGAGCATGCTACTGCACTCCAGCCTGGGCCACAGAGTGAGACGCCAATTCAAAAATAAATCAATCAATAAATATTCATGCCGGGCTCGGTGACTCAGCCTATAATCCCAGCACTTTGGGAGGCTGAGGCGAGTGGATTGCCTGAGGAGCCCGCGGGTTCGAGACCCGCCTGGGCAACTTGGCAAGATCTCGTCTCTACAATAAATAAAAAATTAGCTGGGTATGATAGCGTGCACCTGTAGTTCCGGCTACTTGGAAGGCTGAGGCGGAAGGCTTGCTGGAGCCCAGCAGGTTGAGGCAGCAGTGACCAGGAGCATGCCACTGCACTCCAGTCTGGGCAACAGAGTGAGACTCCAACTCAAAAAATAATAATAATAAATAAATAAATAAATAAATATTCATACATTGATATCTTGTGGATTTCATGAATTTAAGTCACTCCTATGACTTTGATTCTCTCTTGGTCTACCTTGATTCCATAGGTATCACATGATAAAAATGAGTGTCACAAAAAGTGACAGGCCAGAACATACACAGCCAGTTCCTTCGTGAGGCAATGCTGCCATGAAAGAGCCTGTCTAAATAGCCAACCAACCTCCTCCATGATATTTTTCCCTTTAATTTCACGAATTCTGCCACTTGTACAATCTGCTGAAAATAGCAGACAGCAGAGCAAGAGTTACAGGATAGGCCACAAACTCAAAAGGACAGTTTCTGGAACCATCTCTTTGTTGAGGGAGAAACATCCTCTTAGTGGAGTTCTTTGGCTCTCAGGCTAGGGCTGCACCTACTTTTGCTGGCTTGAAGACATCATCCATTTGTTGCTGCGGACCAATTCCTCTTTCTTTGTGAGTAGCTCCAAAAGTTTCCTTTTTTCCAGATGCAGGTTGTCATTATGCACAGTGATCAGGTTGTTTAATGCCTTCGCCTAAGAATTAGAAAGCCCCCTAATTAACACAGCAGAAGAAAGAACTATAAATTTAAGAGCATCAGCTTGTTTCTAAACTCTAACAGCAAATTTACCTTGTTTACTTTTTCTCTCCTGCTCTCTAGTCTGTTTCTACCTGTTTGCTGACATTGCCATTCATTCATTATAGCTCGATAGTTCTATTTATTTTGGTTCTTTTATGGCATGTATTTTGTTTGGATATTTAATCATTTCTTTGCATTAACATTTTAAAATATCTGAGCAGCCAACTTCCAATAAGATCCCAATGCTTTTTGATACCCATAAATATCAAACCGCCAACAAATACAACTGAATTCTCTGGAACTCCATATTGAAAGTTTTCCCATTGAATACATTTCCACCTGCTTTGCAGTTATTTATTTATTTATTTATTTATTTATTTTTGAATTGGAATCTCACTCTGTCACCCAGCTTGGAGAGCGGTGGCACACTGCTTGCGGCCACCGCAGCCTCGACCTGCTGGGTTCAGGTGATTCTTCTGCCTCAGCCTTCCAAGTAGCTGGAACAACAGGTACACACCACCACGCCCAGCTAATTTTTTATTATTTATTGGAGAGATGAGGTATCACCAAGTTGCCCAGGCTGGTCTTGAATCCCCAGACTCAGGCGATCCTCTCACTTGGCCTACCAAAGTACTGGGATTATAGGCATGAGCTACTGTGCCTGGCCTTATGTTTCATTTTCTACCAGTGATTTCCCCTCAAAGCTGTGAGCTACTGAAGTAACAGCTAAAAGTGATAAAAGAGTGTATTTTGTATATATATAAAACATACACACACACAAACATTCTTGTATTAAAAGTAGTAGCTACCACAGCCTTGATCTTCTGGGCTCAGGTGATCCTTCTGCTCCAGCCTTTCAAGTAGCTGGAACTAGAGGTGTGTGCCACCACACCCAGCTAGTTTTTTAAAATTTATTTAGAGATGAGGTTTCACCAAGTTGCCCAGGCTGGTCTTAAACCCCTGGGCTCAGACAATCCTCTCGCCTGTGCCTCCCAAAGTCCTGGTATTACAAGTGTGAGCCACCATACCTGGCCTGCCAGTCTCATTTCACTAATGTTCTGTCGATGATAACAGGCAAATGTCTTCACCTTTTTGTGCTTTTTCCTCATCTGTCAATGGCAGGAATGAGTATGGGAGAATAACAACCTCTAGCGGTTAGGTGAATTACAGGGCTAAGTGAGGTCAGTTTACATGTCTTTTTTTAAATTTGTAATTATTATTATTATTATTATTTTTTTTTGAGTTGGAGCCTCACTCTGTCACCCAGACTGGAGTGCAGTGGCCGCTTCCAGCCACCGCAGCCTCGACCTGCTGGGTTCCGGCGATCCTTCCGCCTCAGCCTTCCAAGTAGCCGGAATTACAGGCATGCGCTACCACGCCCAGCTGATTTTTTGATTTATTGTAGAGATGAGGTCTCACAAAGTTGCCCTGGCGGGTCTCAAACCCGCAGGCTCAGGCAATCCACTCACCTCAGCATCCCAAAGGCACAGGATTACAGGCTGAGCACTGAGCCCGGCTGTGTAATTATTATTATTATTAGAGACAAGACTTTGCTTTGTCACCCAGCCTGAAGTACAGTGATGTTATCATAGCTCACTGTAATCTCAACCTTCTGGCCTCAAGTGATCCTCCCATCTCAGCCTCCCAATGTGTTAGGATCACAGGCATGCACCACCGCACCCAGTCTACATGTTTCTTTTAAATAAAATACTAATTTAAGCTGGGTACAGTGGCTCATTCCTGTAATTCTAGCATGTTGGGAGGTTGAGGTGAGAGAATTGCTTGAGCTGAGGCGTTCCAGACCAGCCTGGGCAACTTGGCAAGACCCCGTCTCTATAATAAATATATAAATTAGCCAGGCATGGTGGCACATATCTATAGTTCCAGCTACTTGGAAGGCTGAAGTGGAAGAATCGCCTGAGTCCTGCAGGTAGAGGCTGCGGTGGCTGTGACCATGCCATTGCACTCGGCAGAGTGAGACTCTAACTAAAAATCAAAAAACAAAACAAAAAAAATGAATTTAGATAACTCAGAAAAGACTGTCCATCTATTATTAAAGAAGTGTAGGATGGAGATTAGATTATGTCCTGAGGCCAGGCACAGCAGCTCACACCTATAATCCCAGCACTTCAGGAGGCCACAGTGGGAAGATCACTCGAACCTAGGAGTTTGAGACCACCTTGGGCAACACATTGAGACCCCATCTCTACAAAAAATTTTTTTTAAGTTAGCCAGGCATGGTGGTCTGTACCTCTATCTACTCAGAATGCTGAAGTGGGAGGATCACTTGAGCCCAGTAGTTCAAGGCTATACTGAGCTATGATTGCACCACTGCACTCCAGGCTGGGTGACATAGCAAGGCCCAATCCCTGAATGAATGAATGAATTAATTAATTAATAATAGATTATATTCAGAAATAAATCACTCCAGATTTTAAAGTTCTTCTCCAAGACCCTGCAATGTCTAATGATAGTCTCATCTGGTATTATGTAAAGATATTTAATTAACAATATATTAGTAAGGAATGAGAATAGAAGCAGCCTCCTACAGATGATATCCTATTCAATTATAATTTGATTTTTAATTTTTATTTATTTATTTATTTTTTGAGTTGGAGTCTCACTCAGTCATCCAGACTGGAGTGCAGTGGCCGCTCCCGGCCACCACAGCCTCAACCTGCTGGGCTCCAGTGATCCTTCCGCCTCAGCCTTCCAAGTAGCCGGAACTACAGGCACGCACTACCACGCCCCGGCTAATTTTTTTATGTATTGTAGAGATGAGGTCTCACAAAGTTGCCCAGGCGGGTCTTGAACCCGCAGGCTCAGGCAATTCACTCACCTCAGCCTCCCAATGCACGGGATTACAGGCTGAGCCACCGAGCCCGGTTGTTTTTTTGTTTTTTTTTGAGTTGGAGTCTTCACTGTCACCCCCGCTGGAGTGCAGTGGCACACTCATGGCCACCGCAGCCTCGACCTGCTGGGTTCAGGTGATCCTTCCGCCTCATCCTTCCAAGTAGCCGGAACTACAGGCATGCACTACCACATCCGGCTAATTTTTTGATTTATTGTAGAAATGAGGTCTTGCCCAGTTGCCCAGGCTAGTCTTGACCCCCTGGGCTCAGGCAATCCTTTCTCCTTGGCCTCCCAAAGTGCTGGGATTACAGGATTGAGCCACTATGCCTGGCCATAATTAGATTTAAAAGGGTATTGAATGGGAAAGCCTACTGACACCCTGTCTTTCGGAAATACCTTTTTTTTTTTTGGTAGGACTCTCGCTCTGTCACCCAGGCTGGAGTGCAGTGGAATGCTCACAGCCACCACAGCCTAGACCTGGTGGGCTCAGGTGATCCTTCCATCTCAGCCTTCCAAGTAGCTAGAATCACAGGCATGTGCTACCATGCCTGACTAATTTTTTGGTTTATTGTAGAGACGAGGTCTGCCAACTTGCCCAAGCTGGCTGAATCCCTGGGCTCAGACAATCCTCTCACCTCTGCCTCCCAAAGTGTTGGGATTACAAGAGAAAGTCACAGCGCCTGGCAAAATATCATATTTTTTAAAATAATAAAATAATTAGGACACCTGCTGTGATAATAGGATAAAATGTTTGGAAATGTCTCGTTTGGATAGTCATAACAGAAGACTCAGCTGGCTCACCATGAAAAGAAAAAGCTAAAGAAATAAAGCCAAAAGAAGTGGCATTACTTTTTTGGAGACTCAGGAAGCAATCCCAGCTTTTTTATGCTCAAGGTTCTAGTCCTCGGGTCCCAGGTTTGTACCACTATGGCACTAAAAACTCTCAAATCAGTCTACTCTAGGCTAAGAATTTCTAGCTCTGTCAAAAATGTCTGCTGTGGTCTGGGTTCAGTGGCGAGGGTTTCAGACCAGCTTGGGCAACTTGGCGAGACCTCATCTCTACAATAAATAAAAATAAAATTAGCCGGGCATGGTAGTGTGCGCCTGTAGTTCTGGCTACTTGGAAGGCTGAGGTGGAAGGATCTCCAGAATCCAACTGGTCGATGCTGGGGTGGCCGTGAGTGTGCTACTGCACTCCAGTCTGGGTGACAGAGTGAGACTTCAACTCAAAAAAAAAAACGGCATCTATGAAAAATGTATATGTGCCAGGTACCACTTCAGGAATTTTGCATTTTAATCCTCACAAAAGTCTCATGTATGTAAGGCACAGATTATTTTCCTTGTTTTACAGATGAGGAAAATGACACACAGAGACTTGTCTGAGGTCATAAACTATTAAGTAGCAGGGTTAGGATTTGAATTCAAGTCTGTTTAAGGACAAAGCCCACAGTACCCTTCCATGGCTGTGAGCAAAGGGTCCAATTACTTTCTTAGCCTCTGCTTTTTGGGGATCTCCAGCATATTTCATGGAGATCTGTGGTTCTTTGGGTAGGTGAATTAGTTTCCTAGGGCTACCATAACAAAGTGCCGTAACAAAGTACCTAAAAACAACAGAAATATATTTTCTCACAGTCCTGGGAGCTAGAAGTCTGAAATCATGAAGTTGTCAGGGTTAGTTACTTCTGGGGGGCTCAGAGGGAGATTCTGTTCCATGCCATTCTCCTAGAGTTGCCAGCAATTCTTGGTGTTCCTTGGCTTGTAGCTGCACCATCCCGATCTCCGCCTTCATCATCACTTGGCATTCCTCCCTTATCTTTGTCTATGTGTCTTCCCCCTTCCTATGAGGACACTAGTCATATTGGATTGAGAATTCAGTCCAATCCAGAATGACTGCATCTTAACTAATTACATCTGCAAAGACCCTATTTCCACATAAGGCCGCATTCTGAGGTTCCAGGTGGACATGAATTTGGGGGACACTATTCAATTCAGTACAGTCAGGAAGAAAGTAAGCATGCCTGCTGAAAGCAGAAAGCTGTTTTTGCAGCCTAGAAGAAGGCAGGCAGCACGAGAAAGAACTGGTAACACAGAAGTAGGTTTATATGTCAGGTAGGCCCACAAACCAGGATTGCTACTTTCTTCTGTACACTTCCCATAGTTCTTTCTTAGCTCTGAATCCAAGCTGGATCTGAGTCTTTAGAAGTTTGACAACATAATGACAAAATAGAAGGACACTGCAAAAATCCAATTTATTTTTTCTCTCTCACTACAATTTAGAGTATCAAAAGGATTTAAAAATATTTTTTAGAGACAAAGACTCACTATTTTGCCCAGGCTGGAGTGTAGTGGCTATATACAAGCACGGCCATAGTGTACTACAGCCTCAAACTCCTGGCCTCAAACATCCTCCCACCTCAGGCTACTGAGCAGCTATGACTACAGGTATCACCACACCTGGCTCAAGAGGATTTTGTTTCTTAGTTGGAGTCTCATTGTTGTCACTCAGACTAGAGTGCAGTGGCATGATGATAGCTCACCACAAACTCAAACTCCTGGGCTCAAACAATCCTCCCACCTCAGCCTCCAAAGTAGCTAGGACTACAAGCATGTACCACCACAGCCAGCTAATTTTGTTGTTGTTGTTATTGTTAAGATGAGGTCTCATCATGTTGCCCAGGGTTGTCTGGAACTCCTGAGCTCAAGCAATCCTCCCAAAGTGTTGGGATTATAGGCATGAGCCACCGTTCCCAGAAAGAAGATTTTTAAAAACCAAGAATACAATATTGGTGAGCCATCTGGTATAATCTTCAAATGTTTTATTGTATATAGTCTAGGAATTTTTGACCTGGAGTCCCAGATAGTCAATGGAATGACTGAGATTTTACATAAATGGTTTTGGTATTCTTGGCACATAGTGATGGTAGATTAAAAAAATAAATAAAATACAGATTTCTTGTATGTTGAAATGAGTATTTTAGGAGTGAAGACAGAGTTCTCAAAATTCTGAAATTGGTTGGAGATCCAAGATTTGGCCTAGTGAATTGCTCTACATTTTGAATTTATGTAGTTTAATAATCCCAAGACCAGTCTGCATTTGATTCCATTCATCTGACCCATTTATTTCTCACCTATACACCTGTAAGTTGCAAGGGGTAATAAGACGAATAAAGAAATAATGGGTCGGGCATGGTGGCTCAGGCCTGTAATCCTGGCACTTTGGGAGGCTGAGGCGAGAGGACGGCCTGAGCCCAGGTGTTCGAGACCAGCCTGGGCAACTTGGTGAGACCTTGTCGCTACAATAAATCAAAAAATTAGCCAGGTGTGGTGGTGCACAGTTCCGGCTACTTGGAAGGCTGAGGTTGAAGGCTCGCCTGAGCCCAGCAGGTCAACACTGGGGTGGCCGGGAGTGTGCCATTGCACTCCAGCCTGGCTGATGGAGTGAGTCTCCAACTGGAAAAACAAAAATGAAAGAAATAATGGATATTTAGAAAAATGCTTTAAGACGAGGATAGATAAAGGAGTTTGGATCACCTGTTTTCACTGCTATTTGAAACTGACACTGAAGTTTGAGGCAAAATGGGGGCTACATAAAGCAGAAATGAGTTACTTAAGAGTGGTTTGAAATTGCTGCTGAGGAGTGTTTAAGAAAAGGCATTTTCGGTCAGCTGTGGGAGCTCACGCCTGTAGTCCCAGCACTTTGGGAAGCCAAGATGGGAGGACTGCTTGGGCCCAGGCATTCAAGAACAGCCTGGGCAGTATAGTGAGACTTCATCTCTACAAGAAAATTAAAAAAAAATTAACCAAGTGTAGTGGTTCCAGCTACTTGGGAGGCTGAGGCGAAAGGATCAACTGAGCCCAGGAGGTTGACGGTGTGGTGAGCCATGATCATGCCACTGCACTCTAGTCTGGGTGACAAGAGTGAAAAAAAAAAAAGAAAGGAAAAAAGAAAATAAAAGGTATTTTCATTTGAAGGCAGCACATTGATCATATGTTGGTAGTATAGACTATTTTCAGTGTCCAATTCAGTTTAGCAATACTATGAGTCTTAGATACTTCCTGGCAGGGCTTAAATAATTACATTGAAAGATGGTACAAAGACAAGAAATGAAAACAGGGGCTATGAAGGGGGCACAAATAATTTTTAAGATGAGTGGGCTTTCTCTAAATGGCTGACCACTGGCATCAGCAGTGAGCTCTTCACCTTTTTTTTTTTTTTTCTCACCTGTTCTAGTTGATGTTGCAGTTTTCCAGTTTCACTTTCAAGTTGGTCAATTCTCTCATCTCGCAGTTGTACTTTATGAATCAAATGATCCTTAACTTTTTGAAGCTTGACTTTGTGGTGGTAGCATTTCTCATTATATTTTCTATAAAAGTAAATATGAGTATAGTCACACCTGAACACAGTTAAAAACTTATTTTGCCTCCTCAGTACACACCTTTCTTGGGTTTCCTCTTCTTGCTTAAGTCAGGGGTCAGGGGCCTGGCACCAGATGTGTATACATCTTCTTGTTCCTATGCCAGGGAATGGACCAAGGAAAACCCCCTATATAACACCAGCTTTAATCACTCCCGTGAACTCAAGTATCTGAACTGGTGGTTGTGATATGGCTTTAGCATCTGAGTTTAACTTAGAAAACTCTTAGACTTTTTTTTTTTTTTTGAGACAGGGTCGTGCTCTGTCACCCAGGCTGGAATATAGCGATGCAGTCATAGCCCGCTGTAGCCTTGAACTCTTGGGCTCAAGCAATCCTCCAGTATCAGCCTCCTGAGTTGCTGGAGCTACAGGTACATGTCATCATGCCCAGCAAATTAAAAAAAATTCTTTTGTAGAGCTGAGGTCTCGCTATGTCACCCAGGCTGGTCTCAAACTTCTGGCCTCGAGTGATACTCCTGCCTCAGCCTTCCAAAGTGCTGGGATTACAGGTGTGAGCTACCATGTCCGGTTCTCCTTGATTTCTGACCCCGGACATCTAAATTCTGAATCCTTCTCCACTAATTCAGTCATTAATTTAAAATGTACTAGTTCTTAGCTATACTTTTGGACAGTGATATGCCCCTTCAATCTTATCTAATTTCCAGATTACTGGGCCTGTTCTCAGTCCTTGCATTGAGTCTGAACTTCTAAATGCCAGTTCTATATAGGTCCCTGCTCAAGACTCTGATTCTGATATAAATCTAAGTTACTGCCAATAGGCACATGAAAAGATGTTTGACATCATTCGCTATTAAGGAAATGCAAAGTCAAAGCACAATGAGATACCACTTCACACCCACTAGAATGGCTAAAATTTAAAAAGACAGATAATAATAAGTGATGACAAGGATGTGGAGAAATCAGAACCATTATACACTGCAGGCAAGACTATAAAATGGTAGTCTTTGGGAAACAGCCTGGCCATTCCTCAGAGTTGCCATATGACCCAGCAACTCTACTCCTAGGTATCTATTCAACAGAAATGAAAACATATGGCCACACAAAAACTTATATACAAATGTTCATACCAGAATTATTCATAACAGCCAAAAGGTAGAAACAACCCAAATTTTCCTCAACTCATGACTAGATAAACAAATATGGTCTATCCATACAATGTGTTATCATTCAGTGATAAAAAGGAAGTACTGATACATGTTACTACATAGATGAGACTTGAAAGCATTATTCAAAGTAAAAGAAACAAAGTCACAAAAGATCATATATTATATGATTCCATTTATATGAAATATCCATAATAGGCAAATAGAGAAAGAAAGTAGATTAGTGATTGTCTAGGACTGGGTTGGGAAGGGAAACTGGGGATAGGGTGACAGTTAAAGGGTATGGAGTTTCTTTGGGGATGATAAAATGTTCTAAAGTTGATTGTAGTGATGGATGGACAACAAAAAGCCATTGAACTGTACGCTTTAGATGGGTAAATTGGACCAGCCTAGGCAACATAGTAAAACTTTGTCTCTACAAAAAACAAAAAAATTAGCCAGGTATGGTACACAACTGTAGTTCCAGCTACTTGGGAGGCTGTGGCAGAAGGATAGCCGGAGACCAGGAGGTCGAGACTGCATCGAGCCATGCTTGTGCCACTGCATTCCAGCCTGGATGACAGAGTGAGACCCCAACTCAAAAGTAAAATATAAAATAAAATAAGACGGTGCGGTGGCTCATGCCTATAATCCCAGCACTTTGGGAGGCCGAGGTGAGAGGACTGCCAGAGCTCACAGGTTTGAGATCAGCCTGGGAAACTTGGCAAAACCTCATCTCTACAATAAATCAAAAAATTAGCTGGGCACAGTGTTGTATGCCTGTAGTTCCAGCTATTTGGAAGGCTGAGGCGGAAGGATCACCTGAGCCAAGCAGGTCAAGGATGTGGTGGCCGTCAGCGTGCCACTGCGCTCCAGCCTGGGCAGGAGAGTGAGACTCTAACTCAAACAAACAAATAAATTAAATTAAATTAAATTAAATTAAATGGTACATTGTAGAGTATGTGAGTCATATATCAATAAAGTTGTTTAAAAAAACAAGTGATCATTTCAAATTACTATAACAGTTAATAAAGGTAAACAAGAAAATAGATTAAAGCCTCCATACAATCATTAGGCGAACATCTAAAACATTCCAAATAAGTATATTTTACTTTAAAATTAAAGAGAAACTTCACTTTGAACCCACTAGGTCTGATAACATCAAATCACTCTTTTTTATTTTATTTTTGAGTTGGGGGCTTCACTTTGCTGCCCAGGCTGGATTGCAGTGGCATGACCATTGCTTACCATAGCCTCGACCTCTTGGTCTCAGGCAATCCTCTCTCCTCAGTCGCCCGAGTAGCTGGAACTATAGGTGCCCACTACTTCACTGGGCTAATTTTTTAAATTTTTGTAGAGATAAGGTCTTGCTGTGTTATCTAGGCTGGTCTCGAACTCTTGGGCTCAAGCAATTCTCCTGCCTCAGCCTCCCAAAGTGTTGGGACTACAAATGTGATGACTGGCCACCAAATCACTCTAAATCAGGACTTCTCAACCTCTGCACAATTGGCATTTTGGACCAGATAATTATTATTATTATTATTATTATTATTTGAGTTGGAGTCTCACTCTATCACCCAGACTGGAATGCAGTGGCCACTCCCGGCCACTGCAGCCTCGACCTGCTGGG